CGCTTTTGGGTTGGAGGACATCGCCTTTATATAGGTTGGAGGCCATCACTTTTATATAGGTTGGAGGACATCGCTTTTAGGTTGGAGGCCATCGCTAGTAGGTTGGAGACCATTGCTATTAGGTTGGAGGCGGTCGCTTTTAGGTTGGAGGCCGTCGCTAGGAAGCTTTTTGAAAATTTTCCGGTCCAAGGATCCTCTATTTGAGGGTTAAAAGAATCGTACTGAGTCGCCCTTCGAAGGTCTGGACGGTCAGGAATTTGGTCGATCCAGGCAGAAGTGTGATGTGTGTTCTTTTCGTTGTCAGCTGGATGTTGAACAAAAAAAAGAAAACGTGCAAGAAAACTTAAAAGAACTGCCAAGGAAGCGAGCACAACAACATAGAAGCCAACTTACTTACCATGTAGAAATCCAGAGAAGTTGACCCCAGGCCCTACCAAGGTCCTCCTCAAGCTGTACCTGGATCCCTGCTTGGACGATCAAACGCTTCGGCTAATGAAGTTATCCCGTGAGCTGACACATGTAATTGACCATTTGTGCACGCCAAGAACTCAAAACAAGCATCACCTCAATTCATGGGGATGTTATTTGGATTGACCCGCGTCCGATGTTCCTGCTCTAAGAATTCTAAACTTCTTGCTAGTCCTTTAAGTCGCTTAAGACATGGGAAAGTTTTACTTATGATTCTGATGAGGTGTGCGATAATCATCCAAGCACCATGGAAAATGCGCAATCGTTCGCTCGCTTCAGGAAGAGTCCACCAGCGGCGGAAAGCGACAAAGTTGGAATCCCAATGACGAATGTCTCCGATTTGCTTTACATTTTACATACGTAATGTTTAGCCTAACAAATGACATGGGTCTGTCAAAGATTGGGAAAACGATTTTTGGACGTGGGCACCCATGTTTGGCCACATCCGTTCGCTCGTCAACAAACAAAAATAAAAAAACCGATCACGCTCCTGTTAAAGGCCTCTCACGTGCAGTTAAACTCAGAATCACACGGTAGTGAGTCATCCAAATCCTCAATTCATATTCAACTGCAAAAATCCGTACAAATCAAGGACAATTTAGGGATTCCATCAGATTCCCATTTCACCACCGAGTAGATCCTTGATGATTCTTCGGTAGCATTTGGGAGATGGTCCTGGAGGTCTGAGGTATCTTAGCATGTGAAGATAAACACCTTGATTCAGCATTCTGAGTGCAGTGTCACAAAACGGTCCCCGCGTGTCCAATGTTTTGGGCTGCAAATGGCTTGATGTCTGAGGAGACTGGTCAATGAGGGTTCCAAAAGAGCAAGCTACACTCCCAGCAAGGACGGTCCAAGCACAATCTGATGCTGCGAGGGTGCAGATACTGCACCGTGAACCCGTGGAATCCATGGAAACTCATGTTGAAGGCCATTGCTATTAGGAGCAAGGACGCTACTAGGAGCTCCCTGGCATCGCTACGAACGGAGCGGTCGGACGTGACGAACGGTTGGAGGCCATGGCTATTAGGTCCCAGAGCTCCAAAGCAGCACGGCTCCAAACCAGCACAGATGAGACCGTTGTAGTGAAGGACTCCCAGGGTCCCTGGTTTTTTGGATTCCAAAAAATAACACACCAAGCAGTGTTCCCCTCCAACACGCAGAAATATACAAACGCCATTACGCAATTCCCCCTCAAATCTATGTGCAATACCAAGCACAACACCAAATCTCGACATCGTGTTGAAGTCCCATCCTGGGAGTGTTTCAGCCCAGGTGTGGAAAGCTCGCGACCCGGCAAAAGGTGCTCATCCGCTGTTCGTGACCCGCTGCGGTGCCACCACCTACGACCGGCCGTCAGGCAGAGAAAAGTGCGACATGGGTTGATGATCATGGATAAGTACCCACTCATTGTAAAGGGTTTTATCGTGTAGAATTAGTTTTGGAATAACTCACCAAGCACCTGATTCCTCTGCTGTGGCCCTGATCGGCCCTTATCCTCTCACCCACTCTGTCGCACCTGTCTCCGCATACTTGATGTCATCTCCCACAGGTGGTTGTCCAAAGACCCGTAGCTGCAGACACTCCGAGGGCTGCCAATCAGTCTTATTGGGCTCCCCATAGTCCACAGCTGGCACCTCGGACCAACTGAACGCCGGGGTTTGAGGGTCGCGTCGCTCTCATTGGATGAGTCTGAACAAAAAGGGCTCGGTCTAGATGATACCTTCACTAGTAATAAGGCCAGGAGCCCCTAGTTGCGTCCTTGCTCCTAGTAGCGATGCCCTTTGCTCCTAGTAGCTTCTTGCTAGTGGGGCCCAATCAAAATGCAGATGTTTAAAAAATGGACCCAAACCACCCCAAATATACAGCTTGCCCATCCACACCGAATGTGTATTCTGATTGATGTAATAAAAAAGAGCCCATATACTCCAACGATCATCTGCAACCACACCACAAGGGGCACAAGCCCAAATGCACTGGGACCCTGTAAGACCATGTGAGGACGAAATCACACTCACCGACACGGTTCATCCGGCATCGAGCTGCGATGACACCACCACCATAGATGCCACCCACGAAGAGGCGCACACATTCCAAGCAGCTGCCACCCACACTGACCAAGGAGTCCAAAGGGACACACCTGGGACGCCAGTGGCAAAGCCCAGGCCAGGCCGTTGGTCGGCAGCTTGCAGCTTTCGAAACGACGCGGATCGTGCCGCGGTTCGGTTGTGTTCTGGTCATGCAGCTGGGAGATGGCTTGGAGTACGTAGGTGCTGCAACTTGAACAAGAAACTGGTGGAATGGGTGTTTTGATGCTTTTGGTGATGAGTCTGAGTATTTTGCGGAATGAGCCATGGATGTCTGCAAAAACACTCGATGGAAAATGAATCATCGGTGATCGCCATGACAACCAAAGCTATTCGTCCATTGCCATCCGAAACTTCAGGGTGGAGGCTGAATGGATGAATGAAAGACTTTTGCTGCGCGCAGCATTGGTACCTAACAAAGGATGTGAATAGTCACAGTTTTGTGCCTTCTCCACATACTCCCACCTCCACTCTTAAATGTCCCATCGCGAGTTCGGCCTGACATTGGTGTTGCGGCCCCAGATGTAGGAGCTCTTCTTCAACAAACGCGGGAAGCTGGGCTTCTTCTCGGCCCTGGCCAGATCGGTCTGTGGTCTCGATCCAACAGCTGGGTGCTGTCGGTTAGTTGAGCTTAATGAAGATTATGCACCAGTGATGGTGCCCGGGGCTGATGTTGATCCTTAAACAACAACTTGGACCATATGACTTCCTTCCAATAGTCCTTCACATGTCCTTCAAAACCACCCGAACGAAACACGATGGGTGTTTCGGAACCACGTCACCCGACGTCACCCAACGCTCCACTCGATGTGAGCGTCTCCCTCAACCTCTGGGTGTCTTCAAAGGCTGCATCCATGTGGAAGAGCCACGACTCCCCATGCAACGAACCATCTTGCCTGCGAAGCGAGCCGAAGTTGCTGGGTGGGTTAGGAGCCCTTCGGACTAGAAATGATGAGGACATGATGACCAGCACTTGGTGGCCAGGTGAAGAAAGCTGATGGCTGAACCGAAGCCCCTTTGAAGCTAATGTGGTCAGGAATCCTTCATGACGCTGATTCTTATCACTCCTTCTCCAAGGAGATTCGTGTTTTATCTGTATCCATTGAATCCATTGTCCATTGTTTCGTGACATTCCAAGTAGGTCGACTCCTCACAAGGGCGATCAATGGGCGATCAAAGGATGTCTACGTCGAGACATCGAACCCTAAAACATCTCAGGTGTGAATTTGTTTATCTCTCAAGGCACTTGTTCCTAGTAGCTTCTTGTTACTACTAGTAAGGCACTTGTTACTACTAGCGTGGCACTTGTTTCTAATAGCTTCTTGTTACTATCACCCTAAAACATTCACGCATTCTGAGGGGAGTATCAACAACCTCACTTCTGGGCAGAGGTTGGGACCAAGGAAAGATTTTGTCTCCCCACGTACTTAGACTTGTATTTGGCCCTGATTTGCAACTTCCGTTTTTCTTCGCATGTCTTCGTCTTCGTCTTCTTCTTCTTCTTCTTCTTCTTCTTCTAGAAAGAAAGAAAGAAATAAGAAGAAAGAAGACTGATTAGCAACTCAAATCACCGCAGGCAGGCTCTCCGCCCCACTGGCTTTTTTCGGAGCCTCTTGAACTCCACAAGACACTGGGCGAAGGGGGATCGCCTGGGGCGAAGGTGGCAGAGTTGTGGATCGGATTCTTCTGTTTTTTTCGACGTATCCCAAACAGTTGTCATCGAGATGTTCATATGTTTAATCGATTGATATAGTCTAGATAAAGTCATCTCTTCCGACATGAACAAAGGTCCTAGTTCCTATTTACCCCACAGCAGCGGTAACCCTAGCGGCCCTAGTTTCAAAATTGATAGTGGACACTCAAAAACCTGCACATGGCACAAATGGTGCCTGTAAGCTGGTTCTATCAGACCTTCAAAGTCTCGTAGCATAGGCATGGGATGAACCACAAGTGTTTGCCGTTTATGGGAAACTTTGGAATCTTGCTTCCTGTATGCTGACCTTCCTGCTTCTCACCCCACTCGCCTCGTCAACAATCAGCAGCCTCATATCCCCACCTCTCACCCCAGCATTCTTCAGTAACAAATGAATAGTGCGTGAGCTTTCGTCCACTACTCGTTTAGCTATGTTTGGCTAGCCCTTAATTAAGAAAAGAACGCGAGCTAACAAAAGAACTCCCCGTCCGTCTTCCGGCCCGCTCCCCTCCTTCCCGCCTGTAGTCCGCCTCCGTGTCGGTGGGCGTCGGCGGCTCCGCGATCTGCGTGCCGTGCCGCGGCGTCGCGGTCGTGCGGCGGGTGGAGCCAAAGAGGCCACCGCCTGGAGCGGACAGAGTAGAGTGGATGAGTATGGATGAGTAGAGTGGATTGAAGGGCAATCGGCCTCCAACCTAAGAGCGATGGCCTCCAATGAGACTGGATTGGAGGTCTGAGGTGATCAATCTGGGATGTTGGGAAGTTATGTATGGTGAGATGGAGGCTTTTGGCGACGGCATTTTTCAAAAGTTTCTCTATGGCAGACTCTTTTCCAGCGTCTATACTTAGGTGCCTGCATTTGGATGTATTGCATGCCTTTGGGGGCCACTGAAACCATTCTACCGCGTCAGAGTCAACGTTCCCTCAAGGGCTTATATAACTTATATAATTCAAATGATGCAAACAAGACAGTACCTCCTTCTTCCAGTTTTCTTGGCCAATGTCAAGGTGATTGTGGATACAGAATTGGAAGTAGTCTTCACAAGCAGCGGCAGTCTTGCTTGCGCACAAAGAGGGTATTCACTCTACCCTTTGGCAAGTCCCTCCTGCCCTCCGATCAAAGCAGTCTCCGGCGGTGTGAACACGCCTACGAAAGCGGCGCCGCCGGCCAGGCACAAGGCCAATATGCCTGCAAACCAAATCTGGGGGACAGGGCTGAAGACCGTGAGTTTCGGCCAGCAATGGTCGTGCCTTGAAGTATCTTCCTGGACAAGTTGGGGATCAGTGTTTCATATGAGCGCCCAAATCTTCCGTTGGTCCGTTGGAATGTCCACATTGTCACCAGGTAGTGCTTTACTGGTGCCAGTTTCAGCTCAACTGAAGCATGGCCTCGCAAGGGAGCCGTCATCGGGCTGAGCGAGGTTCCGAACTACAGACAAGCTCCCCGTTTCACTGCGTTTCGCCTTTGCTGTCATATGATCCTAAACCGTTGATGGAGGTCTCCATAAAAAGGTGTTTGGGACTCTGCCACCCGCTACAAAATTAGTGTGTCCAAAGCCACCTGCTCAAATAAGAATGAATTATATGGCTCATCGGAAGATATCCATAAAAGTGGAGTGGCTCTGTGTCCAGGCTTGGTGTATTTCCAGTTTGTAAAGTGTGTCTATGTCTTTGCCAGTGAGTGGTTGAGATCAGTTAGGGTTTTTGAGTAGTCAGGTGAGGTTCAATTCGGTAAGTCCAATAGCTTTCCATGACCGGGATAAGCTGAGCCAAGCAAAAGGGCTGCAACTCAGAGGCTCACAACAGCAACGCAGAACCACACCGACATGACTGCCAAGAGAGGTGCTGGAAATAAATGGAGCACCAAAGGTCGTTCCTAAGGTCGTTCCTTTCGATTCACCCTTTCGGGACTCTGGACCCCTGATTGCAACGACCCGCTTGTTAGCCTCCAACCTACTAGCGGTGGCCTCCAAGTAGGGATTCTTAGGAGTGAAGCAATTGCCTAAAATGACGGCAGACTGCGACTTTTGCTGCCAGACGTCATAGGCGCCCGTCCTCTCTCAACTCTATGAGTTGTGGATCGCATCCAACTTCTTCACCATTTACTTCAACTCCAAACTCCAACGAGTCCAGTCTTCGCAGTCTTCGCAGCTTCGCCGAAGTCGTGCTGTACGTGTATGGCACAGCAACTTGAAAGTGGGGGTCTCACATGTCCTTAGCATCAAGTATCACTGTTACAGTCACATCTCACTGTTGAGGTCAAAGATATTGGCAAACTCCGGTGAGACGATCGAAACGTGCATCAGCAGCAACCAGGCGATGCATCACTGTATTACACTGTATGTCGTGAAAAAACCTAACTTTGCTAAGCATCACTGCAGTCGGAACGTTGCAAGAAAGAGTGCAGCATTCAACCAAAATGGACTGATGCAGCTTGACTTCTGTGAGCTCCAAACCTCCAGACGTCGTGGAAATCCTCCCAGGTCGCTTCAGGAGGCCATAGACAGCTTGGGGAGCCATCAACATCCCATGGGAGCAGCTCAATAGCCCAACTACATATTAATATGAATTGTACCTGAGAAGGAGGGGACGAAAGCCAGCCTCCATAAGAAGACATCAATATGGCAATGGGGGGTGAAATCGAGAGTGCACTGGAACTCAAAAACTTGGCGTGCAAGATCAAGTGATTGGCTAACACCGGGCAAAGAGTACCTTTGCTATGGGGTGAAGTCGACATTGCATCCACCCCGACAGGGGTAGAAATAGAAAACCGAACACATAGGTTTGGGGGGCGTGCCCTTTTTACTCTTGGTTCAAGGGCGCTTCAAACTGAAAAAGGGCACCCCTAAGGAACTGAGGGGCGCTTGCCTGCTGCGTGTTGCCAGACAATGAGCAAAGATGGCTGTGGGTGGCCCCTCTTTCCTATCGTCGACATACACTCCCACCCCTGGTAGGAGATATTCCTCCTCCGCTGTGCCTGTCTCATCCACATAAACTCCCACCCCATATGGGGTGCCCTTTTCAGTCCCGCAACTTTTGCCCTCTTCACCGTTAAAAAAGGGCACCCGCAAGCAAGTCAAAGCTTGCCCGCTGCATTCTGTTCTCTTTCCTGCCCCTCAGTACATGAACTCGCACCCCTGTATGGGATGCCCTTTTGCGTGTGGTTGAAAGGCATCTCTACCGTTCGAAAAGGGCAATCCCAAGCAACGCCCAGATTTGTTGCAAACCCTCTGTTCCTACCCATCCTCCTCCGCTATGCCTATCTTCCACCTTCCTCACAGCATTCTATTCCCTCTCCTGCCCTCACACCCCTGGTCGATCACCATTTCAATGGCCACCAGACGCGCCTTCCCTTTGCTGGAGCATTTCCAATCACTTTTCGCGTCCCGTTGTCCCCTCTTTCCTATCGTCAACATAAACTCCCACCCCTGGTACCTGAGCCCCTCATGATGCTGATGGTGCACTACTGGCTGTCAATTACATCACTTGCATCACAACACCCCAAAAACCATTCATTTTCACTACCTCCTGGCCACTTCCCCACCAGGCTCTGGGGTGTGCGACCACCCTTCGTTGGCCTAACCCAACTTCAGCCTAGCCTACCGGCTGGCTTTCGTGATATATCAACGAAGTCTCAGAAACCTCTCCTGATTCGTCTCCGAAAAAAAGCAGCTCACGTTCTTCACCACGCCAGCGCAAAGCACTCTTCAGGCGTCGCAGGCGCCGCAGTGGGTCGCAGGCGCCGTGGCACGGCCCAGGGCACCGCGTGCTGCGGGCAGCGCCGGCAGAGCGTCACCACGTCGCCCACGCGAAAGCCCGGCACCGTGGATGGTGCAAACGCTTCGGACGGCAGTTGCACTACAGTCGTGCTGGCCTTGGCGACATGCTACATGTGGCCTTCTAGAGTAGAGCTCATCTCAAAAACTTGGAGGAAAATATATGACTGTCATGACTTGAGGAAATCCATCTAACTTCAGGCGCTTGAAGAGCTCGTTCCCTTTGCAATCCAAGGGGCGCCCGAGTTCAGCACACGCATCTCTGTCCCAGATGAGCTCCACACCACCTCCGAGGCTGAGTAGTGGGGAGTTGTCTGGCATCAAGCGCTTCCACCGCGCTGCCGTTCCCCCTCCCTTTTTCAGGATACATTCAGGAGCTGTCCACATGAAGTCAAAAGCTCCGAGTCTCCCTCGCCTCCCCTCGGAACTCCGCGAAACCCACCGGCAGCACCGCCGCCCACCCGGCCGCCACCGGGCGCGCACCACAGTCAGTGCCGGCATCGCAGTAGCCGAGGAGCGTGGAGTCTTTGAGCAGCTGCAGTGCAGAGATGGTCGTATGCCTGCTGGTTTGCTTGATCATTTGGGGACTAAGGGTGGTCCAGCCAAGGAAAAATCAAACAAAAGTGTGTCTCAGTCTCAAAACGGATTGGTAGGGAATCCTAACGGTCCTAACGGTTGAAATGTTCAATTGCTTTAAGGCAGGTGATATTCTCCGACAAGTCAAGTCACTGTGCAAAACCAAGCACAAAGTAACTGTTTGTGTGGAAACTCCACACGCATGAAGAAACACGTTGAAGGGCTCTGCCTCCAAGCATATTCCAATGCAAACGTGTAGATTCCGGCGAACCAAAGTGTGTGGCGACTCTTTAGGGCGACTCTTTGTCAAAAGATGTTGTGAAAAGATGTTTGGTTAAAACAAATTCACCAGGACTGGTCTTCAAGACTGCCTAGGGAATCTAGCACCTCAGAACTCTGCCTCGTTGCGGGATTAGGGGGGAAGCAACCTGTGCAAAGTGCAAAGCGAAACAAACAAAAAAAACATACTGAACGTTGATCCAAATCACCAGCTGAGACTCTCCTGTTCCTGGCAACAAAATCAGTAGCTTCTTGTTACTAAGAAGCTTCACAAAGACCTAAAAAGCTTCTTGTTACTAGTAGTAATGGCCTCCAACCTAGTAGCTTCTTGTTACTAAGAGATTCAGATCGAAAAGACTTGAAAAGTATCTGGAAGTTTTCATCACACACGTGGCACTGGGTGGAGAAATATCGAAAAGGTCGAAATAGTCACGGTGAACCACAAAAGAAGCCGCGGTTTGCGCTATTGAGCAAACTAGCGGTGCACTGTCCTGGGGTCAAGCGTATACAAGCTGCTTTGCGAAGAACTGCCTATACGACACCCTGCTTTGTACTGCCCATGTTGTGGGCCCGTACCACCTGTACGAAAGGGCGGGTGGATCCGCGCGGCTCAGCCTTTGGGATCTCACAGGGCTCGCCACACTTTGGGTGATCCCTAAGGCATTTCAGCGTTGGACGCCTAGAACCAACCGCCTTGGGAACGAACCGGCACTGCCGGTTCGTCAAATCTGCCTGACCGTTTGGGAGGGTGAGACCGGATTTGTCCATTCCGATGGATTTACCCTCCCACTTCCTGAAGCTGTTCCCCAAGCCACACACGCTCTTTTTGTGGCTGATGTAGAACAAAGCCCATGCCTTCTACCCCATTCAAACCAGTGCAAGACCAGTGCCACTAGCAAACGTGATTTGTCCAAGGCTAGCCCCCAGCTTCAGCGCAGCTAAAAAATGCTGCTTGTGAATTCATCGTATAATTCACTTCATTGAGCCCCTCCAATTCCAAAATCACTACACCAGCTTGCTTGTTTATCCTTCCCTACCCCGCCTGGAAGATGCCTTCTCCCAGCCGCACTGTCCACCCGCGAAAGTGTTTCAACGCTTCCGCCACGCCCAGGTTGGCCGCCAAACCGCCACCCACATGCACGCGGAATGCGGCGCGTTTGCCGCCGCGTAAGCCCCGGAGAAAACCGCGCAGACGGAGCTCCAGGGATTTCAGGTAAAGCAAGGAGCGGGCCTTGGACTTGGAAGGAAGCAAGGCAGCAAGGCAGACTTATCGGCTTATCAGCTTAAGGATCATGCGATATGGAGGAGCTCAAACAACTTCTCTTGTACACGTCATTGTACCAATGACCAGTGATACTGCGTGACACAAAACAGAGATCCACTCCAATGAGTACTGTGCGCATGATTTACATAAAAGCCCTCACTCTTAGAAAAGTGCTTTCTTGAAAGGTTCCCATCTGCACTTCGCCAAGCCCAACCGATGGTCTAAGAAAAACCTCCTCAGGTTGGAGGCCATCGCTCTTAGGTTGGAGGCCATCGCTAGGAGGTTCCTCACTGCCACTCCTTCCCTTCAACCCAGACCGGGACACCGTGGCAGAAGCGTCGTTGCTACAGCAAAGCTTGGTATGGAGCCCCTCCAACCGGAGCCACGGTGCATTGGCCACCAGGTGACCCGCTGCCAGGACACCTTTCCTCGGGGGATGCAGATTGTCCGAACCGTCAGGGCCTTCCTCCTCGAAGAAGTTTGAGTCAGGGTCCAACTTGTTACTACCAGCGAGGCACTCGTTTCTAGTAGCTTCTTGTTACTACTAGTAAGGCACCTGTTAATAGTAGCGAGGCACTTGTTACATGTGCAAAGGGCAAACACGTTGACATGTTAACCAACATGTTAACCATGTGCGCCATTCCCTGCAAGTCACAAACCCGTGCGTCCGATGCCGGTGTCCACCTCCAAATGCAGCTTCACCGGCGTGCTGCACCGCCCCCCTTGGTTCCCGCGTGCCAGACGGAGCAGCCAGCGGAAGGACTGGATGGCGATGGAGACATGGGCAGCTGCCAGGCGGCAAAGAAGGTGCAGAGGTGGTTGGTTGAAGAGCACCACCTGCTTCCTTGACAGGGCAGAGTGTTGAGGTGTGATGGGGGTCAGCACAAATGATGTTTGCTCTTGTGCATATGCCGTTTTCTGGTCTGGAGGCTTTTGTTGGGCATCAAACGGAAAGGGAAAGCTGCATTGCAAAGCTTCAAGTGTTGCATTACATGTGCTTCAATGATTCATAGCTCTGCGAGCCCCCAAGAAGCAATCTTGTCCTGTGAGTTTGGCCCAAAGGCCCCAGCTGCAATGCGTGGTGAAAGCTCAAAGGGAAGATCGCCTGGCATATGTTCACACGTGTTGAAGCCCTGAGGAGCACAGGAGCAAGCAGTGCATGCAATCATGATCACCAAGTCTAAAGAATCAGGCCTTTGGGCTTTTGGAGATGGATTTCGGATATCAAATATCAAATATACACAGTAGGCAAAACAAATCTCTGCCCACGTCAATATATGGATCCTTGGTAGTGAAAAGGAGAGTTACTTTTGAGCCTTGGAACATTCCTGCTGTTCCTGCCATCTCATCACCGTACTTGTGGAAGGCCTCCTAGTTGGAGGCCATCGAGAGACCATCCCTCTTAGGTTGGAGTCCATCGCTCTTTGGTTGGAGGCCATCTCAGCAGGCTGAGACACCTGGCTGCAAAGAACCTCCGTGGATTCGTCGACTTTGGAAACGCTCGAAACGCTCCACGGCGATTGGCCTGGACATGCGGATGTGCCAACAGTTGGGCGCCCATCACGAACTCATTGTGGCTGAAGGCATTGGACGACAACATCACACCTCAGGTCTCTTTGGGTGGCGCTTTCCATGGCTGAAGGCGTCAAGACGGTGGAACAGTGGTGTCAATGAAACGTACATTTAATGGCGCACCTTGGAATGACTTGGAATATCGAAATCCTTTGAATAACCCTCTCCATTTCTACTAGGAACAAGTGCATCGCTACTAGGAGCAAGGGCCTTACTAGTAGTAACAAGAAGTTATTAGAAACAATATATACTCTAGGAGCAAGGACGCTACTAGGGGCTCCTGGCATCGCTACTAGGAGCAAGGACGCTACTAGGAGCAAAGGGCATCGCTACTAGGAGCAAGAAGCTACTAGGTCCATTTCTTTTTGGTCTGCAAAGTCGAAAGATACTCAGGACAGCCCCGTCCGCTTCGAAACCAACTCGTCCAGCGGCCAATCCGCGGCCGCTGACCCGCGCGCTTCGCCCAGGCTGCCCAAGAGGACACCCGGCGTTCGATCGGGGCCATATCAACCTGGCCCAGGTCGGAGGCGATTTTAATCAAGAGCGCTACTAGTAACAAGTGCATCGCTACTAGTAACAAGTGCCTTACTACTAGTAACAAGTGCATTACTACTAGGAGCAAATAGCTACTAATAGCGATGCCCTTGTTACTAGTAGCTTCTTGCTATTAGTAGTAAGGCCAGGAGCTACTAGTAGCGTCCTTGCTCCGTTAGGAGCGACGCCCTTGTTACATGAATTTCATGAAGTGATCAAGATTGCTCAAAATTGATTGTTCCACGTGTTTTCTCCAGGTGTTAGGTCCAGGTGTTTCCAACCTGATGTCCGACGCTTCGCACCTCAGCCCAGCTGTTGGGCCGGTCGAGCATCAAACAGCTCTCCTGCATCACCGCTCCTGAGACCCCGGCTGAACACCAAATCACGCAGGCCAGGAGCATTCTCCTCCTGTGCTTTTCTAAAGGGGTGCTGTTGGATATCGGATATCATTTTCAAGTTCCATTTGAAACGCATTTCCTCAGCCTCCCTACCAACACCCCTCCTGGAGGCACTGCCACCGGACCCCGACGCCGTGGGCGCGCCACCAGGCGCAGCGTCGCGCCCGCAGCCGCGGCCGAGGCGGCCGCCTGCTGCATCTCGCCAACGGAGCGGAACACGGACCCCGACGGGGCACTCACATCTGCAACGCCTCGGCAGCACGGCCGTGCGGGAAAAACAAAGGCTGATGGAGTTCGTGTCAGGGGCAGCACATGGCTTCTGATCCACTGACGTTGGGATGAATGGATTTTCCACATTGCTTGCGGAAGAGGCAAAGTTGGTGTCATGCACCCACAAAAAGCACTTCATTCTCACTTCAAACCATGTAAAAGGTCCACCAAGTAACGGAAACCATGCCAGACCAAGAATTCATAGATGGAGAGTGGATCATCAGCTTCAGGGTCAATGCGCGGATTCTGGAGGCGGATGAGGATGCCGAAGACTTGATCAGAGTTCCTTACAGCCCGGCATTCTGCATATTGGGAAACCTTTTGAACAACTTGTCCTGAACCAATTTGTGTAACCCGGGAACTCGCTTTTTTGACCGTTTTTCGAGCTCGTGGAACTCGGTTTTCTGAAGGAGCCGCTTTATTGGGAAACCCACTCTTTTGACCGGACCGTCTTTTTGGACATGGAACTAGGGTTAGAAAAGTAGGCCTCAAAGTGTTTATAATAGGTAGGGTGTTAAACAAATGAAAAGCAAAACAAGATATGATAGTGGGTTAAATGAATGGCCTGCCCTCACAAATTGGCGCTGAATACCATCGGAGAAAAACCCATCCCCATATTGCTACAACGAGCTGATCTCTCACAGTTTAAGACTGGCGACTAGGAACAAAGGGCATCGCTATTAGGAGCAAGAACGCTACTAGTAGGTCCTGGCCTTACTACTAGTAACAAGAAGCTACTAGGAACAAGGGCATCGCTACTACAGCCATCTCCTTCCCAGAAGAACCTGTTTGTGTAGAACGAACACGGTCGAATTTAGAGAACGAGACAGCCTCGGAGGAAAGACTTCATTACCAAACAATCTTATTTCAGCCACTACTCTGGCACATGCTTCAAGAGATGAACAACGCATGGGATCGCCAAAACAAACAAATAATGAGGTTGGCCTTTGAGAAGTCAAACCTGTCTTGGTGCAAACAAGACTCAAGTAAGTCGCCAAAGACTTCAATGCTTGAAGTTGGCCGTGAGCCCGCTCCACAATTACTATGGCCTCGGCTCCGGCACTAAAGCTCAAAAATGCCTTGAGCAGGCAGCAGGCCCACATGAACCATCCAATCCAACATGCCGAAGTTAAACTCTTAGAGTCTTAGAGCAAAACACCCCAACACCTTTCTTTTCCCAGGCACCAACTCCAAGTCTTTCGGCAGCTCCTCCACTCCGACCTCTTGGATCGGCTCCACCGCGGAACCGACCACGAAGCTGCGGGGCGCGCAGGTGGCGCAAGTGGCGCAGGCGGCCTTCAGCGCGGAGAGCGCCAGGGCTGCACAGCGGGCGCCGGCGCCGCCGGCGCCTGGCATGTGCTGCACTCACAAATCAAGGGGAAATATGGATGACACTGAGTAGTTCTCGATTCTCGGTTTTTACATCTCCGAGAGTGAGATCACAGCAAATCTAGTGTTTTGAGATCCCCTTGACCTGAGACAGACTCTCATTGGTCTATACAAACCACCACCATAGACCATGTGGTTCTTCTCGCTGATGCATGTTCGCTGAAATTATCAGGCGGTGGTCTTCTTCCTCTACACAAGACAACTCGATTCTCAGAACAAATTAGCGCATTAATTAGAACAGTGAAGTCTACAAAGCCAATTGTTGCCATCCTGGATGTGTCTCGAGCTATGGAACTCTTGTTCTGGTTTCGGATCCGAAGAAGGCTTGAAGCTAAGCATGTCAACCTCGCAGCGGATCCCACTCTTTCCCAAGGGGTCCGGAAACGCGTCACTTCCCAAGGAGTCCGGCCGTCGTGGATCTCAAGCACAGCCGCATGCTGGCAGCGAGTCTCGTCCTGCTTCCAGTCGTCGATGACCTGAATCAGGATGCTACCAAGGAAACGAGCGATCCACTAAAAATAAATAAGCATGGAACCTAGAAGAAATGGCCTCCAACCTAGAAGCCATGGCCTCCAATATACTGATATACTACGCAACAATAAATAAGCATAGAAGTATGGACAATCAGAGTGACAACGATGGAAAGCAAACAACCACATCATCAAACACTCTTCACAAAACGCCTGCTGGATTGCATCCCCAAGCTCACACACAGCGCTTGGCGCGCCCCAGCGTCTGGCTAAGAACAGAAGTTCGACGCCCCCTGGAGCAGCCAAGCCCAACTGGTGAGCCTTGCGACGTTCGGGGCCGCGTGGATTCGAACGGGACGGAGGGAACGAAGCGATCGAAGCGATCGGAAGCCTCGTAATGTCAAATCAAGTAGCAACAAGTGCCTCACTAGTAGTAACAGGTGCCTTACTAGTAGTAACAAAGAAGCCCATTAGAATTAGTTTTAAAAAAAATAAGAATAATAGCTTCTTGTTACTACTAGTAAGGCACTTGTTAATAGTAGCGATGCACTTGTTTCTACTAGCGTCCTTGTTACTACCAGTAAGGCACTTGTTAATACTAGCGATGTGAATCGTGTTTAGTGTGAACTAGTCAACCAGACTGCAAGACAGCGGCCAAATCTCATGACTGCAGCTCGCCTGGAAAAATTCAATCTAGACATTATCTCCAATGTTTGACTACAGTCATGACTATTTACTAATGACTCTACTATACCCTGCATCCAATCCATCCAATATCTATCTACTCCCCTCAAACGAAAGAAAATCACTTCTCCCAACCCATCACCACGTTTCCAGCCTCAGCATGTTGCCAGCTCTCCTTTGCACGGTGCCAGTCCTCCAGCACGGCCCAGGCAATGCTCTTCAGCAGTCCGCAGCAGGCATCACGAGAAGAGGTCGCGAGGAACAGGGCGGCAAAGGGCTCCAAGCTGCCTAAGCCGGCGCCTCTCGAAGTTAAAAAGAACATCACTAGTAGCTTGGAGGCCATCGCTCTTAGGCTGGAGGCCGTCGCTAGTAGGTTGGAGGCCATCGCTCTAAGGTTGGAGGGCCATCGCTAGTAGGTTGGAGGCCATCGCTAGTAGGTTGGAGGCCACCGCTCTTAGGTTGGAGGCCATCGCTAGTAGGTTGGGGGCCCTTGCTGGTAGGTTGGAAGCCATCGCTAGTAGGTTGGGGGCCGTCGCTAGTAGGTTGGATGGCATCGCGAGTAGAGTAGGTTTCAACAGCACGCTGTTTGGATCGTTGGGATCGATTCCGCCCAAGATGTGGCTCTGAAACATTCCTCAAACGCCCAGCAACCGCTCAAGTCTTGACTCAAATGCTCCCGCACGGCTCGCAGAAAGCGGTGCTGATAGCATGCAGAGCTCTCGCAAAGGGTCCGCTGCCTTGTGGATGAGAAAGTACACTTGGCATGATCGGGGGATAGCCTTAAAGAAGTTGAGATACACACTGAGTTTGCAACCCACGACCTGCTTTGTAATATATAATCCCAACATCAATTCAACCAAATGGCTTGGTTTTAAGGAAACGAAATGCGTTTGAGGTCTCCTTCCACGAAAAAGACACGTTGATCCGGCTCACATCGCCTTGAACAGAAAAACCAATTTCCAAAGTCTGGGCCTTCTCCTGGTCGCCAAAGGAAGGACGCTACTAGGAGCAAAGGGCATCGCTACTAGGAGCAAGGACGCTGCTAGGGGCTCCTGGCCTTACTACTAAAAGCAAGAAGCTATTAGAAACAAGAAATCGCCTGCCAAAGAGCGGCAAAGTTCTTGTCAAGCCGAGGAGCAATTCCTCCAACTGATGGCTTTGCGCCCACTTTTTAAGTGGCGCACCATCCAACTCGGCCCAATCCGACGTCAGCCTGCAGCCGAAGCAGCCGAACGAAGAGACAAGAACGGATGAAAAGCGCCTTGATGGCAAGTTCTTATCAGGTTCTCCCAACCCACTGTTCCTAAAAGGTTTGGACCTTGCAAAACAAATCGTGCCTCGCATGCAGCTCTTCCAACTGCCACCACTCCGCATTCGCCAAGTACCTGACGAGGAAAGGGCTCTCAGCTTTGATCCGGAAACCCCCCAGCATCCACTTGGCAACATCCGCCGTGATCCGCGATGATCGTTCGATTGACTTCTTTCAACAAAAACTTGACCAAACAGGAAAATCTGTGTTTGCATGGCAAAAGCCATGATTGTTTAGTAATGGCATTTGTGCTATCCCATGTTGAGGTTTCTCTTTGCGTTCAGCTAAGAAACCATGCTGCCGCAAAGTTCCAAAGGAATGGAAAGCGCCAATACCATCGACGCATTGAGAATGGTCAAGGATCTCTCCACCAATAACTGTGGGGGTGGCCTCTACCATCTAATGGACATCGAAAGGTTTGTTCTCGTATGTTGTTACGACAAAGTCTCGCAGTCTCAAGCAGCTGCTTATTCGGTGGAACCACAACAACATAGAACTGCTGTGGCTGAGTTAAGCCACCAACCTACTAGCGATGGCCTCCAACCTACCAGCAATGGAACTCCTGTGGAGTTAAGCCACCTCAAAAACTGTCCAATACTCTCCCGCATCTCCCCACATATGCTGCTGTTTTGGTGAGACATGATCATCAATCGACAGTCCTCATGGGTCAAAAAAACAAAATGTTCAGGCAAGATATCATGAACGCAATGTCGCAATGTGCTGGACCCCAAGTTGCAGAAGGGCTCGGATTTAATTTAGGATTTTTGTTTTTGTTTGGTAATTTTTTTTTTCGTGTTTCGTGGCAGGCGCAGTACTTTGTGGACCTTGAAGTGCAGATTTCGTGGCAGGTGCAGGACTTTGTGGATGTTGAAGTGCAGTTTTCGTGGCAGGTGCAGGACTTTGTGGATGTTGAAGTGCAGATTTCTTGGCAGGTGCAGGACTTTGTGGGCCGATAGATAGATAGATAGATAGATACATAGATAGATAGATAGATAGATGGATAGAGAGATAGATAGATAGATAGATAGATAGATACATAGATAGATAGATAGATAGAGATAGATAGATAGATAGAGACAGAGATAGATAGAGACAGAGAGAGATAGATAGATAGATAGATAGATAGATCGATACATAGATAGATAGATAGATAGAGATAGATAGAGATAGATAGATAGATAGATAGAAAGAGATAGATAGAAAGGTAGATAGAGAGAGATAGATAGATAGATAGATAGATAGAGAGAGATAGATAGATAGATAGATAGATAGATAGATAGAGATAGATAGATAGATAGATAGATAGATGGAGACAGAGAGAGATAGAAAGATAGATAGATAGGATAGGATAGGATAGGATAGGATAGGATAGGATAGATAGATAGATAGATAGAGATGGAGAGATAGATAGATAGATAGATAGAGATGGAGAGATAGATAGATAGATAGATAGTTTCGAGTTTTTCGAGTTTCGGGCGCTCTCAAGTCATCTCGAGACTGCGGGGCACAGGATTTGTTATCCTGGCTGATTGGAAATCAGACTTCGCCTGCGCCGGAGTGCGCTTCTGGGCGGACATCAACTTCCAAAAAACCAGATAAAAACCAACCTCTTGCCAAAAGCCTCTATGGCAGCATGAGGTGTCACTCTGACCGTCCAGGTCAGATCATTCATGAAGCGGGGCTGTAACTCTGCGCAGTGGGCTCTACAGGTCAGCCATCCATTGGAAAGTGCAGAGTTGTGGAAATCTACAGTGGCTTCCGCAGTTTCCATCTACAATCTGCAAATCAAGAACTGTTCAAGACTGCAGTTGCAGCCGAGAAGGTTTGAAGTCTCCTGAAAACCGGAACGGTCTGCCAGGTTCACATCCAAATGAATGGGAGAACTCATGGCAGTGGATTTCGGCTGCGCTGTCAGCATTGGAGCTGTATTGGTTGGAGCACACATCAAAAGGAAGAGTGGCTGTTTTCCAAGGCCAGCAAAGCATTGCAACTGGATGACTTGTAACGATCATCATAAACTTTCGTGCTGCAATTTTCGCACCAGCTGCTCTATTAGTCTTCGAACAAAGCTGAAGTGCCTGCGACTGAGACTGGCAAGGGTGACTCTTTCCCTTGCCTGCACACGAAGGCCACCGTTGAATGGCCTTCATGGACAACAGCCAAAGTCCGGATACAGCATAATGCATTCGTCGAGAATTCAAGCCCATAGTTAGTACGACGCTCTCTCAAGTTTCACACGTCTCACCTTAGTACAGACGAAACTCTGCCCATTGGTTGTTGGGGTCTTTTGGCACTGGTGCTTTTTGGGGTGGTTTTTTTGGTTTTGGGTTGTGTTTGTTGTTTGTCTTTTCGGGTTGCTCCCCCCACCAATCTGCAAACTGCCACGCAGACATACCTAGAGGACCCAATCTGGGACAGGCTACAGCAAAGCACGGCACACACTATTGTCTTCAGGGATAGCAGTGTAATCCTGCCATCGCAGGAACAACTTGAAGGATGCCCTATCCATCATGTTCCGCTTGCTGTTCATGTCCCCATGAACCCAGAGGAAATCGTCCCGGAAGGGGCTTTTGCAGGGGTTCCGCGTATGCGGCATGTCAGCGTAGAGTCAGGTATCAGGCTCATCGAGGCAGAGGCGTGGCAAAATTGTCGGCAGCTCCGCATTGTCAAATTGCCGGCCACTGTGGTCGGCATTTCCGATAATGCCTTTCGCGACTGCAAACTACTAAACAGTGTCTCGGCTCCTGGTTGCCGGGAATTTGGATACAAAGCCTTTGCGGAATGCTGCTCCTTACAATGGGTGTATGCATCGGACGGGGTTGCAAATAGGTTCAGCAGCGAAGCCAAGCTCGGGCATTATCTCTTTCAAGGGTGCATCAACCTTGCTGAGTTTACCTTGAGTGAGCTTCCATCCCCCCGAGGGTCAACCCTGCAGGCCGGGACCAGTGAGCTGGCGCCAGGCTGTCTTAGCTCACGGGAATCACCACACTTGCTCTCACGAAGTATTTTACAACTATTGGAGCGCGTGCGTGTGACAGTTGCCGACTGCTTAAAAGGGTTGACCTCTGCAACACCAACGTTGAAGAAATTCCGGAATTCACCTTTGTGCACTGCACTAGCCTCAGAGAAGTTCTCCTTCCGTCTACTCTCCATACAATTCGAGTTAAAGCCTTTATGAACTGTGCAGCCCTTGTTGAGCTTGCCATCCCGCCCTCACTAAAACTTGAGGCCGAGGGTAGGTGACGAAAGCTAGCAGGGGTGCATCCGGACTGGTGGACACCAAGCGGAGTGAGGCAAATGCTCATGAGGTAAAACGTTGTGAACATGTAAGACACACAAACAGCAATGACACAGCCAACCTTAGAATTGAAGTCCCCGATAATTAAGGAAGCGTGGCTGGACTTTGCCACACTGTTCGATGCATCCGATGTGTTCACGAACCTGTGAGCTTGTTGAATCTGTTGCACCGTATCCCAAAACCTCCACGGAGGAGTTGAACCAGTGTGGATGCCATAAGAGGTGCCCAAGAGGTGTCCCAGAGGCAAAACAAAGCTGCTTGCATGATTTGTTTGGTTTCTTCTATCGATGTCGATGTCATGAACATGTGAGCTTGTTGAATCTGTTGCCATCGATGTGAAAGAGTGACTAGGGCGTACACGGTAGAGGTGCAGACCGCTAGTGTCTTTTATGCGCAGAGTCTTATCCTCTTGCTCTTTGAGCCTTGAGCAGTCAAGAATGGACACACTATATCGGCTGTTGGAGTGGAACCCTGTACAGGTAGGCTCTACTTTTCAGCAGGCACAAGATTCATGTCCACTCCTAGCTGATTGCGTATGTCGCATACTCTTTTCTACTGCAAGGCTAAAACAGTCCAGCTAGCTCTAGCAACTTAAAAGAAAACTACGGTGCCATGTACTTACCTAATCCAGTGTGTTTCACACTATAGAGAAGGTAATCTCAAAGCTACTAACTACAGTGAGGGAGCAATAGCTGACTCACCTCAAGTACAAAATCAAAACGATAATGTACCTCGGCTGGAGACTGTACTTTTCGCAGGCGGAGATACCATGTACCGGCGCTCACTAGCTCTTTATGGCCTGAGCTAAATCAAACTAAAAAGGGAAAGCGGCTTTTTCTCTACAGAGACCTATAAAAGAATCAAACGACACTCGCGTAACAAGGAACTAAAAATTCAAGACCGCACAAATTGCAATTAATTAAAATGCCTTGCAAAATGCAAGGAGCGTACGGTCCGAGGAATAATCTTCTCGTGACGTGGTCTCGACCGCTTTCATTCACAGACAAAATAAAACTGCATCAAAAGAACTCTTTCTCATTGACATCAAAAACACAAGAAGGAGATACCGGCAAATGTATGTACAAAAATCTTGCACTACAATTGCAAATCATGAAATGACTTAATCATCAACCATGACTGGTTGTCCATTAGAGGTCATCTCAGAAAAAAAGCGGCTGTGATAGATATCATCAGTTATGCAAAACTGTCCATACCTATCTACATGCTAAAGCGTATAAACCTGGAATGCAGGAGTATCTTCTTTGATAAAAAGTTTCTCTTCATTGCAAACCAGAATTTAATAAAACTTCAGCCTGGCAACTTAAAGTCAAGCTTGGAAGCAAAGTATCAACTGTAACCAGAAATATCTTCACTTCCTAGCCATCATTTAAATTTCAGCCTTCGCTCAGGAATTATGCCGCTGCAAACGATGAAGCTGCTTGATCAGAAGTTGGCGGCCTTCCTTTCCTTTTATTCTCTTTCTGTTTCTCCTTCCTCCGCAGTTTCGCCTCATGAAGAGTTGCTCCCATGCGATACTGTCTTCTGTCTCCAGATGAAAAGGAAGCTGGTCTGAGTGAAATAAACATTGGACCATGACTGTCCTCGTCAGTGGGCCTTGAGCACATAACCTCCGTGTCAATCATAGCAAAGTTCTCTGAAAAATTACAGATGAACTCCTTCGTGCTCACTGTAGAATTTTCATATTCCTCTTCACTCATTGAATGACCCCATTCAACAATGGTAGACAAACATGTATCGCCAAGCTGTGATCCTTGGTATTCTTCTTTTTCAACAGTAGAATATTCTTCCCAGAGTTTATCAAAGTAAACTTCACACTTCTTGAGGACCTGTGAAGTTGAACTGTAAAATGTTCTGGGAATAGGTGCTTTGATACCAGGATCTGCTTTTACACGAGCTTCTGAAAACCTGCGGATCCAATGCTGCATGGTGCTGTAATAGTAGTTAGCCATTGGCTGCCTTTTGTACCCAGACATTCTGTAGGCCAAACTATTTGCATCACCAGAAATGATGTCCACCTCATAGACAAAACACTCGTAAAGCATCAATGCTGTCTGTTCTCCTGTCAGTAGGTGGGCATCCACAGCACGGTGTGTATCAACATGATAATTACAGACTCTGATGGTATGCATGTTCGCTCGAGTAAGTGGAACA